TGCAGGCAGAGCTGGGGCCAGTGCCCGAGGCCCGCGTGCCCAGCGTGGCACCCACCGCCCTGCGCGGCAGCCCCCAGCACCTGACGGGGACGAGCACTCCCGCCCCAGCAGCGCGGGATCATTCGGGGCAAAACCTGTCCCTTCGGGTGGTATCTAAGAGCCACCGATGCCCGTGGTTCGGGGGCCCAGAAGCAGGTTCCTGGTGTCCAGTCCCAGGCAGCACTGAAACCTGGACCACAGCAGTCCTCCCCCTACTCCCACCTCAGTTAAATAATGACCGCAGGACATGCTTACACGCGGATAGACATATATACACCTATTTATATAGGACCCCCCTTGCTTGTCCGAATCCCAGCTTTCCCCAGGGAAGCGCTGGAGGCAGCAACAGTGGCGGCGCAAGGTCCCGGCCGGCGATGCCCTCACATCACGATGAAGCCCCTGTGGCTCGTGCTCTGGCAGCTGAGGCCGAAGGAGGAGGAGTTGCTCTTCTTGCTGACGGTCAGGTCGCACGCCGGCCGCGCCTTCAGGTAGCGCGTGGAGCAGCAGAGGAAGCGCCGCATCAGGTCGTGGAAGAGGTGCCCCGTGTACAGCATGTAGATCCAGGGGTTGCAGCAGCTGTTGAGGCTGGCCAGGAGCATGGCGATGATGAAGGGGGAGGCTGCAAGGCAGAAAGCATGGCAGCATCAGGGCACGGCACGGGCGGCGAGAACCACCACCTCTGCCGAGAGCCCCAGCTCTGCCGGCATCGCGACGCCTCCTCCCGCGCCAGGGAGGGGCTGCCCTGCCCGCAGGAACACCTCGGTCAGTACATCGGTAAAGAAGAGCTGCCAAATAAAAAGGGGGGAGCGGGTCTGAGTTTAAGCAACTTCGTTTTCCGTTTTTTTCCCCCAGAAGAGCTGTGCTCCCCCACTCAGCTCCGGCGCTGCCGCCTGCTCGGCATTACCCTAGAAATGCCTTGGGAAGAGGCAGAGCTGCCCCCAGCACCATCTGCACCATTTGCCTCTAGGCTGCCCGAAGCGGGGAGGAGGGAGCACGGCCTCCCGGAGTTGCCATAGCAAAGAGCAGGACCAGGAACAAAAAGAGCCGGGTGACTTGTTTCCCCCACCAGCCGCCAGTTTGGGGCTGACTAGCAGCTCTCATCCACTTGGGCTGTGGGGAAGCCACGCTCTGTCCTGGCCCCGGGGTGTCCCCTGCTCCTGGGCTGTCCCCACCAGCAGCACACGGCTGGCAGGACAGTGCCCGCCAGCCCAGCCCCATCCATGCCCCTCTGCCCGGCGCTCTCCCAGCCCCGGGGAACTGTGGCATTTTTCCCCCTGGATTGATTTTCTCCTGTGACGCTCTGCCAAGGCCATTCCCATCTCCGTAATGAAGCCCGGGAGCCTGGCAATGGCTCCTGGCTGCAAGCGTGGCGTTGGGGACGGGAGGCGATGGTGGCGGCGCGGTGCCAGGACGTCAAGTCTCCGGCTGCAGCTCTGCGTTCCCGGAGCACAAAGCACCCGACTGTCCCACCTACGAGGTCAGGCCGGTGCCGTCTGGGGAGAACGGTGGAC